AAGGACAGGTCGTAGGAAGTTCTCTCCGGTAAGGTGGCCTCTGAACTGTGACCTGAAAGTTGAGGAAGAGCCAGCCGTACAATCACCTGGAGGGCGGGCTTTCCAGGCAGAGGAAACGACAAACAGAAAGGCCTGAAGTGGGAAGTTTTGCCGGTTCCAGGAACAGGCAGGAGGCCAGTAGGGTCTGGGGCCAAGAGCCAGGGGAGAGGCAGGCCTCCGCGTGAAGGGAAGGCAGGGCCTCAGGAAGGCTGGGGGGAGGCCAGGAGTGTTTTGTGGGGAGGCTGAGGAGCCACTGGAGGGTTTTAAGCAGTGGGTGATCAGGTCTGACTTACATTTGAAAAGGCCACTTGGTGAAGGACAAAATAGAGGGAGATGGTTCAGGAGGCCCTGCACTGCAGAGGACCAGGCCAGGCAGGACTGGGTGGTGCTTGGAGTGGGCTGGTGGCAGTGGGGACAGAGAAACAACTGGATTTACAATCTATTTTGGAAGTAGGGCGTGTAGGACCTGCCGATGGAATTTCACAGGGAGTAAGTGAAAGAAGGATTCAAGATGGATTCCCTGAGCGATGGGTGGAGAGTCGGGCTGTTTATCAAGGTGAGGAAGCCTGTGGGGAGGGGTCGGCTTGGGGAGAAAATCAAGAGTTCTGTGTTGGACATTTTAAGATGGAAGTACTCATTAGAGATGAATGAATGACCTGAGTGAGAAGCGGGAAACCATGGAAATAACAAATGGCAGGAGCTACCAGGTGAGCAGTGGGCAGCTCGGTGCGCTTATGATTCGATGGGGTCAATATATGGTGCCTTTATCACTCTGAATTCCAGTTTCTTGAATGAAGTGCACGACTGGGACAAATGCATACTACATGGGCTAATATATAAATTTCTTTCGTGAATGTCCCTACTTCATAAAAAACACATAACATTTGAAACAAAATTAGCACTTTGGATAATTATAACCCACTAGCCCGAGTTCTCCCACTGGTCCTGTGGGAAGCAGCATTCTTCTCTCAGGCTGGAGAGCGGCCAGGCTGCTGGGCTGGGATACACAGGCGCAGGGCTCCTCCCCTGGGCCGGGGCGTCAGCGGGAGAAGCGGCACTCGCAGAGGATGGAGTGCAGGCACCGGGAATGCTGCAGCCCTGCCACCAGACTCTCTTTGGGATGCCTTCTAACTCCGAGGAGTGTAAGGCCACCCAGACATGGGGGCCTGGAGGTAGCCAGCTCCGAGAGACCCTTTAGCCCTGGCCTGGAAGAAACAACTGCAGCTGGGGAGGCCTGGCAAGTGTCGCTGGGCTCCCTGCCTGTGTGACTGTTCACGTCCCCAGCAGGGGCTACTCAGCCTCCTGTGGGCTCGGTCCCAGGTGACAGATTCCCTTCCCAGACAAGGGGGCTGGAGGCTCTAAGGCTGAAGCCAGGCATGTGTCCCCAGGGTGCAAATCCTCCAGTGGCACCCCAGCTCAGAAGGAAATCCAAAGCTTGGCTCTTGGTCTCTAAGGTTCCACACCATCTGGTCCCCAGCTCCCTTCCCTCCACTGCTGCCACTCTCATCCTCACTCACTCCTCTCCAGCCACACCGGCCTCCTTGCTGTTCCTCCAACTGGCCAGGCACGCTTCCAGAGTTAGCTTTCACACTGGCCATTCACTGTGCCTGGAATGCTCCTCCCTAGATATCCACACGGTTCTTTCTCTCCCTCCTTTCATTTGGGTCTTAGTTCAAATGTCACCTTCTCAGAGGACCTTCCCTGACCACTCAACCCCATCCTTCTACCCCTCACACTGTTTTATTTTCTTTCCTAGCATGTCACACCCCATCATATACCTATTTGTCTGTCTCCCCACTAGAACGGGCAACTCCAAGAGAGCAAAAATTTCATTTTGTTCAACTGCCGCATCCCCAGCACTTAGAACAGTTAGAGGAACGTAAAAGGTGCTCAATGAACATCTGTTCTAAAAATGAATGGATGTCACTTGCCCCGGGAGAAGCTCATTTCCTTGAGGCGAAGCCAAGTCAGAGAGCTGGGCAGCCCGTCCACAGGGGCCACCAATCCAAAGGACCTGCAGTGGGTGAGTTTGGAGGGGGCAGTCGGGACAGCCCATGTCGAAGGCACCTGCGGTTTGAAGGGCACCGGAACCCTAATTGTGGGGGAAGGGAGACATTACAGCTAAAGACTGGACAGACTCCACCTCCAGCTCTAGGACCAACCATGTCCTCACACAGTCCATTTCAGCTCTTTGCATGAGCACCAGCACCTACCTAGCTGCCTGTAGGCTGACCCTCCCCTTCCTGAGACAAGGAGGAGCCAGCTGGGCAGTATATATCCCAAGTCCTCACTCACTAGCCAGAGAATTTGAAAGCAACTGTTGCTCAGTAGCTATGGAGCCTGACAGACTTGGACTTGATCTTGCCTCTGTCACGAGAGGTGTGTGTCTGACCTTTGATTTCTTCATCTGTAAATAAGGATGATCATATGTCCTTTACTTTTTCTTTTTTTGAATGAATAGGTAATGATACATGCCCATCACATGATACATGCCCAGATGGCCCTTGCTCCCATCCACATCTCCCCATCCGCTGCTGCGACGGCCCCATGCCTCTTGCCCAGAATCCATTCCTAGCCCTCCTTGGTCTGCTCTATCTTGCTGCCAGCTGTTGGTAAATTGGGGAGAATCCCCAGTACAGGGGCACATGACAAAAGCATCCATCCATCCCTCTTCTTTCCTCCCATCCCCCAGACCCCTTGCGTGGAACAAGTAGATAAGATTCACACAAGTTCTGGCTGAGGGTTCAGACGAGTGTTTGTCTGAGGTGTCCTGACAGGCACAGACCATGAAGCATTGCTATGGAAACTGTTCTGTTGTTCTCTGCTACGTGATTTGCTTTCTGGCTCAGCTGCAGTTGTGGTACAGGGGGAAGGGCAGCAGATGAGGTACTGAGGATTACTCTCTGCTTCTCTGTGGGTCTTACCTTCCTCACCTCCAAGAAGTAGGCCACTGTTTCTCAACCATGGCCTGATGACCATCTGTACTTGTTAACAATCAGAGTCCCAGCACCCACCTCAGGCCAACCGTCAGCATCTCCCGGGGAGACTGTAATACACACCAGCGTTTGAGAACCACTGGTGTAGGAGTTCGTTAGCTAAATTGTTTTCAATTTACCCAGTAGGTAAAATGGATAACACCGGTTGGAGCAGGGGTGAGGGGCTCAGAGCCCCATCAACTCCACCTCTCACTACCCCCAACTGGCTCCATGGAATTCTAGGGCTTCCCCGAGCACAGTTTGAAAACCACCAGACCAGATGATTTCTAGTGCCTTCCCCTATATTCATTCATTCATTCACTCACCAATATTTATTAGGTGCCTTCTGCTGTCTTTATGCCAAGTAGTAGTTTGAAGTATATAGGTCTTCTACTTACTAGCTGTGTAATCTTGAGCAAATTACTTAATCTCCCTGGGGCTCAAATTGTTCATTTGCATTGGGAAAATAATACTTGTTTTCCCTACCTCACAGGATTCTTATAATGATCCAATAATCAAATGAGAACACCTATGAAGAAGTGGTTTGTTACCTGGAAGAGACTCTGCAGATGGCAACAACTAGCATTAGTAGTACATCTACCTATCTGAAGTCTGTAGAACTAAATGAAGTCCTTAGCGGTCTCTCTGGATTGTTACTCTCCTACTCTCTGTAGCTAAACTTCCACAAAGGTTACAGGGTGTAGGGGACCACTGGTCTAAAAGCCTCCATTGAAAAAACAGCAACCTGCCTACAGGGTGATTCTGAGATGTACTAATATCACTCAGTTTGTTACCTTCTAAATAGAACCTTTCTGTATTACCCACATTTTCTTCAATGAAATTACTTTTATAATAAACAATTTAAAAAACTAACACTACAGAAAATATTGTCTGATATACACAGTTCTTTCAAAAAAACTCTTTTTAAAAACTCTGATGCTTTAAAATGAATTCAAATGAGGCACTCAGAGCAAGGGCAAATACCAGCCGGGCAGGGCTGCAGCGTGGCCCTTTCAGAGGAGCATGGGGCGACTCTGCCAACAGCTTAGCACAGGGTCTTGGGTGACTCACCACCTCTCGCAGGGCCTCCGTTTCCACACCTATGAACATAAGGCAGCAGCTTTACTGATCTCCAAGGACCCTTCCAGCTCTGATGCTTAGTGTTCTAGGACAATGGCATGTACTTTCTGATATACCCAGGCTATCATTCACAGCACATCTGGACCTGCTGGGGCTGCAGCCTTGCTGAGCTCGAGGTGGCTCAGGGATACCTCACTGGCTAAAAACAACGTCTCTCTCCCCAGTCACTAAATTGGAATCTCAGATTTTCCAAAGCACTCTCAGCCCCACTACAAACACAAAGGAGGAAGATCAGGGAGTGAGAACGGCGAGGAGAGAGGTGGCTCACGTAAGAGCTGCACCCCTTAAGGTGATGGGGCCGTGACCAAAATCAAGGCATTTGAGCCAAGCCCAGTACGCCTCACCTTACTGGGATCATCTCCCAGGAAGAACTACAGACCCAGCAAGACTTCATCCGGTGGGAAGACCACCAGAGTTGGGGTCAGAAGATGGGACCATGCCCCTCCTCCAGCCCCTCCTGCAGCGTGCTTTTGGACCAGCCACTCCCTGCTACCGATCCTCGGGGTCTCCATCCACAACCTGGGATATTATACCGGACAAACTCAGTGCTACGGTGAGACTCGTGTGAGTGTGAATGGAAACATATATTATAAAGCTATACATCATTTACCAGTAATACCATATATTGTGCCCAAAGATCAAGAGGAAACGACCCCACCTGTCCTTTAAGAAATCACAGGGCTTCCCTGGTGGCGCCGTGGTTGAGAGTCCGCCTGCCGATGCAGGGGACACGGGTTCGTGCCCCGGTCCGGGAAGATCCCACATGCTGCGGAGCGGCTGGGCCTGTGAGCCATGGACGCTGAGCCTGCGCGTCTGGAGCCTGTGCTCCACAACAGGAGAGGCCACAACAGTGAGAGGCCCGCATACACAAAAAAAAAAAAAAAGAAAGAAAAGAAACCCACAGCTCTGGAGAGTATAAGCCCTGGGTCACAGGGCTGGTAGGTATGGGACCTGAACAGCAAGTCACTTTACTGTGCAGCTGAGCTACACAGGACAGACTCTCGGCTTGGCCTGGTTCCAGTCCGATGGAGACCAAACATCACCGAAGCTGAAAACATTCAACAGGAGCATACAGCCCATCAAAGTGAACAGTTCTTTATTTCGAGCATTCATGCATTCATCCAGTTAACAAACATCCTTCTAGTATCAATTCCAGAGAGAGTAGTATTTGGGTGCCTCAGCTATGCAAGGAAGTAAGAGGAGGAATGAGCAAGGATGAATAAGATAGTCCCCATTGTTAAGGAATTCCCAGTCTCTTAATTACCAACATTTCCTGAGTTCTTACTATATACCAAGAACTTTGCTGTACTACTTCCATGGTCTCATTTCACACTCATAATACCCCAACAGGGTAGGAATGTTCAAGATTCCTATTTCACCCCTAAAGAAGCTGAGGCTCAGGCTCACTGGAAAACTAAGTGATGCAGCCAGGACTCGAACCCAGGTCAGTCTGTCTCAGATCCTAAGCTCTAACCCCTGTCTTCCATGGCCTCCGTATTGCTGGGGACCTTAGGCAGACACCTTCCTCTCTGGGTTTCAGCTCTCTCTGTGGAATGTAGAGGGTCAATGATTCTAGTGGGCGTACTGCAAACAACTACGAACCAAGACAGAAAGCAAGAAATGTCCACCTGACGTGAAGTGTGAGGTGTGGAGATCAGTTCCCATACCTCAGGAGAGGAAGCCATAGGACATAATCTGGGTAGAATGAGGCCAAAGGTAGGACTTTTGCCACATAGGGTTCAAACCAGCAGGTTTCAGAGAGGCATAGCTGACACTTGCCCACCTCCACCAACGTCCATTCTCCCACCAAACTGAACTGCCCATGCCATCTCCACACTCCAGCTACCTCCCCAGTAAGGCCTTTGTCACACTGTCCCCTTACGTTCCCCCATCTCCCCTTATTTTTCTCCTCTAGGGGTCCTCTTCTGATCCTGCAGCTCTCCCCAAGAGACTATAACAGACATTCAAATTCTATTTCATCAAGAAGCCCTCACATCAATGGAACAGCATTTTCCTGGTCCTTGGTACATGGCTCCCTGTCTTCCCAATTTGCTCCGTCTCTAATGGAGAAAGAGCAGTGGCCCTTCTCCATCTGAATCTTTCACAGCAGCAGATGCCAGTAAGGTTGCCTGGAGAGTCTGGAAATGCCATGTTGCCATGGTAACAGCAGACCAAGGTTTGGGATGCTTTATCCCCAGTGAGCTGCCCTGGCAGTGCCATGCCAGGTTGCTGGTGGAATCTTCCTTGGGGAACAACAATGACAACAAAACCCCATTAATGGACCGAAAACTGCTCCGCTGGTGCTGAGGTTCAGCTCCTGCAAACACACTTGTGGGCCTCTCCCCCAGCCCCTTGGCTGAGAAGGGGGCCAGGCTCTGGCTCTCTGCACTGTGTCTCGCTCAAGGGGTAATACGGTTTTAACTGGCTCAGCCAACAAAGCAGGCCCTCCCCCACTCCAGCCCCCAAATTACCACTTCTCTTGTTTGATGCCACCAACCAGGGATCTGCTGGCATGGACCCTGGCAATTAGCACAGCATCTACATTTGTTGGAGAATTAAGAGCCACTGATTAGCCTAATTCCACACCATTTACAGGCAGCAAGTGTCAGCCTGAGATTGGCTTTTCCAAATGGTGGCCCAGAGGGAGGCATGATCATGGCTTGAGTTTGAAATGGAGGCAAAGGCCTGGTGGGCCAGACTGTGACCCAGGAGGGGAGGCAGGACTCACTTCTGGGCCTGAGGACATGTCAGCCACTGCTTCCCCTAGACCTGCTCGCCTAAGGGACCTGAAGCCCAGCAGAAGCTGTTTCCAAATTGAGGTCATGTCTATTTCCAAGTCAATCCTGACCGGAAAGGGAGCTCATTTCCCTTTAATAGCATCCCTGCTGACTCCCACTGGGAATGCCTAGCCATAGGACTAGTGAGCCCTAAACTAGGGGCTTCTGGGGATAGAGGCCTGAGTCAAACTCTAGCTGGCTGGGCAGAACCCTGACATCCTGCCTAGACTCTCCTGCCATCCCACCACCTGAACCTTTATCTGACCCTTTCATCTGTCCCCCAAGTTGCTCTCTGGCTGGACACTTGGAATTTGAATGCCTGATAATTACCTTATGATTCCTCTGTCAGAGCCCTGGCCCGCCTGCTGAAGGACCCCAAATGGGCTCTCCAGGATACTGACATTCCCAGGATCATACAGGCCCCTACACCTCGGATGGCTGATCTCCATCCCCACCTAGCAGGAGCTAACTCCACAGCTGATATGGTTCCCCTGGGTTTGTACCTTCTCCTGCCAGTTTGCTTGTACACAGAATAAAGGGATCATGAGCACATGGAACTAGCTAACTGAATGTGTGCCCACAGACCCCATGGAACTTCCAGAACCTCTAAGGAAATATACAGGCATAGAGGCCTGGCTGGACAGGCCTTGGCGACCGAGCTTGCCTCATGCAAACTCTATCCTGCTTGAAAACAGGGGCTGAACCAGGTCTTCCCAGCCATTCATAAAACATTTATTGAGTTTTATTTGGTAGATGCCATCAGGGGTATAGGATGAACTGTTCGTGGCATCTGCCATCGAGTCTAGGGGATCAGCAGACTTCCTAGCAGAAAAAGGAAGTTAGGGGAGACAGGAAGAAGGGCATTCCAAGTAGGGAGCACAGTGGGAACAAAGGCCTAGCAGAGGAGGTAGGGGGAGCTTATAGAGCTAATGATGCTAGTTCAGTTTGGAAGAAATGTAAAAAGTGGTAGAAGAAATAAATTTGGAGTGACAGGCAGGGTGCGCATCATTGCCAATGGTTCGGGAAATACAATCCTCCAAAGGCCTGACTGAAGACTTGGACTTTACTCAGGAGCCACACAGAAGCCACTAAAGCTTTCGGGCAAGAAAGCAGCAGAATCAGAGCTGTGCTTCAGAAGCAAAATCTGGATAATAATGATCATCACTGTCATTGTCGTCCTGATAGATAACACTTATGGAGCCCTTACGCTGTGCCAGGCACTTTTCTGAACGCTTTAGACTGACGGTGGAGGAGGGACTAGGGAGACCTGTTTGGAGACAGGAGGATGCAGAAGAGGGATGGCTGGAGAGAAACAAGGAGGCAGGATCTGTGAAGCTGTGGTTAGGGGCGGGTGCTGAGAGGATCAGACAGCCTTAGTCAGAAGACTGGGAGGATGGAGGTCACCTCTAGGTCTAGGGTGTGTGATTCCTTGAGTCACGCGTCCTGGTAGACTGAGTCTAGAATCTAACCCAAAGACAAGTTGAAATATTCCTCTTGTCACCCTGAGTTCAGAAAAACGTTTGGAGAGGAACAGACCACGAACGAAGGGCAGCTTTCCCAGGAAGACTTACCCTTTCACACACTGCCCTGGTCCTTCTGACCAAGACCTGCTGATAGGAGTGAGAAGGAAAAGACCCGGAGAGGGGTGGCCTCTCCTGGCTTTGACCCCGTGTCTTCCTGGTGGAGGTCCTTCTGCCACGATATACATCAGACTGGGGCGTCCAGGTAGGGAGGGAGCCCTGGTTTCCGCCTGCCTCGTTTGCTTCTCTGTCCTGCAGGTACCACCAGTGCCCCAAGCTCCTGGGGACGAGGGTCCTCAGGTGGAAGGCAAGAGCCGCCTGCTCAGAGATTGCTCTAGTGAGCAGGGCCTCCCGCCTTGCCAGTCTCTGCCTGTGTTCATACACCACCCTCCCTTATCTCTCCTGGGCCAGGCCAAATCTTAGCCTAGCCTTCAAGGCTCAGCTCAAGTCCTCCTTTCTCTAGAAAGTCTACAACAATCACTCCTTCACTGAGCACTTAGAATGGAAGTTTCAGAGCTGGAAGGGAACGTAGCGATCATTGGCGCAATCCTCCCAACTGTGCAGAAGAGGAAGCTTGGGTCTGTAGAGGGAAGAACTTGCCCAAGAGAAGAGCTACGACTAGATTCCCTGGACAGCCTCCTGCGACCTTCAAGCTCTGGTTTGTTTCGCCCGTCTACGTCACAGATTGTGAGACTGTGGGGACAATGACTTCTATATCTCTGCATCCTTCTCAGTGCTTAGCACAGAGCCCTGGATCGCAGGGAGCTTGGGAAATAGAATCCTCAGTAGCCAAAGGCTCCTGAAGGCATCAGGTCCGAAGGAAAAGCAAGACACAGGTGAAGAAGGGAAAAAACCCTCCTTCCAGCAATTCTCCACTGTTCTGGGATGCAAGCCAAGCCCAGCCACTGGACTGGGGGTGGGAATAGAGATGATGCATTCAAAGGGACTTTTACATCCGAAAGAGATTTTTGCATCCAGTGCCAGGGTTCTAGCCCAGAGCTTCCTGGGAAAGCAGCTTCCAGAGGCTGGCAGAAGGGTTCATGCTGAGGTCAGCCTCTAGCCTGGGGCATTGGTGATGGTGGTAGCAGCAGCTGAGGGAAGATTTTTCCTTTAAAGCCGAGTCTTCAGACTTTTAGAGCAAAAAGAACCCTTCAAGATCACCCAATCCAATACCTGAATTTTTCGAATAGGGAAACTGAGGTCTTGGTAAGGAAAGGGATTTGATCAGGTCATACAATTCATTAGGGTCACAGCCAGGGCATAGTCCAGGTCTCTTGATCCCAACCCAGGACTCTCTGCAGGGCACCTTTTCTCAGCTGGGTCCTATACAGGTATAGAAGGAGAGCACCTGATGGAGTTAATGGCCACCAGTAAGTTATATGTTGTTTTTTAAAATGTCAAAATTACTGAATTACTGACAGACTGGTGATGTGGAGTTAAAGAAATGTATTGGGTTTGATTAAGCCTCCAGGTGAAAAAGCCACTTGCTTGAGATTACAGAGCTAGGAAAAAGTGGAACCAAAACTCAAGCACAGATGTATCTGGTCCCAAAGTCCTTCCTTTATCCACTGGCTGACGCTGCCACACACGCTGTCTCTGTGCTCAGAACTGAGGAGTAAAGACAGGACAGACGGACAGGTCTGAGGAAGGATTCCATTAGACGGACACTTCCTGGGTGAGCCCCTCTTTGCCCCAGGCCCTGTGCTGGGCACTGGGGACACAGAGAAGAAACGAGATCTAGGAGTGCAGAGACTAGGAGGTGACTTCCAGGGAGATTCTAAACGAGCAGCGACCAAGACTGAAAGAGAAACGAACCCGGTCCTTTAAATTCTGAAGTAAGAATGAGGCTGATGAACAGGACGGTGTGACAGCATGCCGGCGGGTCCTGCCTGAAGATGCATGTGTCCCCAGCCACAGTCATCGTTGTCCTTGCAGCACCCAGCACGGTGCCTGGCACATGAAGGCACTCAAGGCAGAGTTGCTGAGCCGATGTGTGGATAAAGGAGGCTCCTCCCTGACAGGGAGTCACGACGCAGCTCCAGGCCTTGCAGAGGGAGGGTCTGTGCTCCCCCCATTTGTAGAAGGGGCAGGAGGCAGCTGGCAGGTCCAGAAATGCTGACACAGAGAGGGACAGAGCTTTCAGCCGCAACCGATTTCTCCATGGCAACAAGCTGACAGAAAACTGCACAGGAGACTGAGAAACCAGTTTTAAAATAAAGACACGAAACACCCTCAGTCTAACATCACACATGCAAAGCAATAGCTCCTGCCTCTCAGCCCCTTAGGAGGGGCAGGCATAATCACTAGAAAAGGTAGCTCCTTCCAACCTGCCATCCCCTGCCAAGGGCCCCATGTGTCTCCCCTCCTACTGTAAACCTTCCCAGAGCTGCCAGGAAGAATCTCTGTCACTTTGCAGTACATGTTTCAGGGCATTGCACCAAATCTGACAAGCAAGGGAGGAGGCTCCGCCAGGGTCACAGCTGGCCAGGTCCTGCAGCAAACGGCCCATGGCAGTCGGCGTCCTGTCACACCAGAGCAGTGGTGGCTGAAGCCTGGGCGGGGCGTAGGGTGTAGGAGGAAGAGCAGGGCAGAGACCCCTTTCCTCCTCCGTCTCCTGATGGTCAAATCCTGCTTCATCCTTCAGGGCTCAGCTGTATTTGCCTTCTTCTCCCAGGATGACTTAATCACACACACCTTCCACTGTAAATCCAAAGCCCTCTGTTTACATTTCAAATATAACACTTTTCATTATACTCCTGCTTACAGAAGCAGACAGACAATCTGCTCTGCATTACACTTCTAGTTACTTATTCTGCCCCCCAGTAGAGAACCTGGTCCATGAGAAAGCCTCGATAAATGCTTTCCAAATTGAATTAACAGCATGAGAAAACATTTTAATTTGAGTAGCTAGAGATCGGCCCTCCTTCAGTTTCTGGGAGTCTGCTCAGACTACCATTTCCTCCAAAGCCTTGGTGCTTTGAGGGCACAAAGGCAGTGTCACCCCCTCTCCTGTGCTGCTGTCCTTCCTGCTGGGCGCCCCCACTAGCTTTCTGCCAACTCCACTGTGTTCCTTCCCTTACAGTTTCATAGACATTACCATATTCAAAAGGGGACCCCAGAACAAGCTGGACTAAGGATCCTGGGTTCATTGCTAGCTTTATGACCTCCTGTCTGTGTGAACTTAGGCAAGTCATTTAACCTCTTTGAACCTTGTCTGCAAAATGGGAAGAATCCATTTCCATACCTATGCCCTGCCTGCCTCATGAGGCTGGTGTGAGGAACAGAGATTATGAATCGTGAAGATGCTCTGAAAGCCGTAAAGTGGTCTCTGTGCAAAGGTAAGGTGAAATGTTGCTTCCAGCATCTTATGAAAGAGGTAGCTGAGGCCTACACTCAGGAAGTGACTTCCCCACGATCGCACAGAGAGACTGTGGAGGAGCAGAGTCCAGGTCTTCTAATTCTTGGTCCAGAGCTCTTTCCCAACCTTATGCTGCCTTAGAGATCACACCCAGGCATTCTTCAACTTTGGCAAAACCAATTCCACATTCCATTAAAATGAGAAGCATTCTGGATTACCTGCGGAGGATAAATCTCTGAACTGGAACAGAGTCCAGCTCTCTACTTCCAGGCAGAATGCCACCTGAAACATTCTAGGCTGGGAGTTAACTCTTAATCCCCCATCAAGCCTTTCCTTCCAGTTTCTCAGTCACTGCTAACTAACCCATGCCAATAAAGGTCATCATGGCAGCTAACACAGTCTTGCTGTGGCAGATCCCAGGTCTTCTGATGTAACCTCAGAAACTGCAACACTGCACAGACCAGAGAAGCAGATCGGGAACAATTTGGACTGGATACAGAGGAAAACTGGTATGGCTTGGAGTACAGACTTTAGTGGAAAAGCACTAAGGCTACAGTAGGGCTTGACTTGGGATGTAGGGACACGGATTCCCTGGAGTGTGAAGTCAGCAGAAGCAGATCTGAGAGAGACAGGAGGGACACACAGGTCCCGCTGCTCAGAGTCTAACAGCTTCCAGGCCCACACACCAGAGATGTCACTGAGTGAAGCCTCTTCAGACCTTAGCAATGACTTTGAAAAGGAGGAAGGTGGGAGAGAAGGAAGGAAATGTCTTTGTCTAGAACCCTAACCCTTTCATGGTGTGAGGGTTAATTTTGTGTCACCTTGGCTAGCCCATGGTGACAAGTCGTTTTGTTAAACACTAGTCTAGACGTTGCTGTAAAGGTATTTTTAAGATGTAATTAACATTCACGATCAGTTGTAGTGGGCCTTGTCCAATCAGTTGAAGGCCTTAAAAGCAAAGACTGAAATGTCCTGAAGAAGAAAGAATTCTGCCTCAAGGCTGCAACACAGAAACTCTGCCTGTGTTTCCAGCCTTTGGACTCAAGACTGAAGCATCAACTCTTACCTGCATCTCCAGCCTGCTGGCTTGCCCTGAGGATTTCAGATTTGCCAGCCCCCACAATAGAGTGAGACAATTCTTTAAAATATTGCTAACCTTAGACAGACAGGCAGATAGACAGGAAGGTAGACAGATGATATAGTATATCCTATTGGCTCTGTTTCTTTTGAGAACCCTAATACAGGTGGGGTTGGGTATTTTCATCTAATTTACCTTATTTAATCCTCCAAGTGACCCTGAGAGGTAGGTTTTGCTATTCTGAGGTTTGTTCACAGATGAGGAAACCGAGGCTTAGAAAGTCAAGTCACTTGGTAAGGAAGACTCCAAAGCCCATGCTTCATCAGTTTTACCATAGGGCCATGAAGAAGTAGAATTTCTCTAAAGAACGCTGCGACAAGAATTCCTCACCAAACAGTGTTGCTGATTTCCTCTCAGTTCTCCTTTTTTTGGGGGGAGGCAGTTAACGACAACAGAAACCAGGGGTATGAACAGGTTTGCTAATCAAGCAGGAAGACTTGCTTTTGCAAAACACTGTCTTAAGGATTTCCATTCTTCCTGGGGTCTGTATCTGGACCCAGGACTTGGGTCTGCATGGACATTCTGGGGTCTCATCACTTTTAAACCTGAGCCCTGAGTGTGAGTGGTCTTTGCAAGAGATTGCTTCATTTGGCTCCTGCAGGGAAGCGGGAAGCCTGCTCTCCACTCAAGTGATGAGCTCTAATGGGGCTGCTTTCTCTAACAGAGCATGCAGCCTTCCTCTGCCTCTCAAGCTGCCCTTCCTCCCACCCCCAAAAGGTTTCTCACCACCACTGTGTCCCCAGGGAAGGGGGAGCATTCTTCCCCTGAACAACTTTAGCCTGAGGATGGACGAGCCCTCTTTCCTCCATTCCCCTTAATGCAGCTGAGACACGGTGGGATTTGCAGGAGGAAGTTGACTAAATGCTAGGGGCCCCTGAAAAGGAAATCATCACAGCAATCCAAACACTTCTACAGGCAGGCAGGGCTGCCAAGATGAGCCTTCTGACTCTTTAATAACTCTCCCCTCTCTCCAAAGGGCTGGGACATACAACTCCAGAAGGCTCTGCTCAGCTTGCAGTCAACTGAACGGGCAGCGGTTTCCACGTGGTCACTATCTGGCTTATTGCCTCAAAGGTATGGCCTCGCAGAGCAGTACCTCCCAGCATGTTAAAGCCCACATCAAAAATGATACTGTCTGACACACTGGATAAATGTAGACGTGGATGTGCAGTCCGAGGACTGACTCCTGCTAGCCCAGGCCACCACCCTTAAGTGCTGAGGGCTTCGCTGTCCTGACACCCTGGTTGGGAAATCTGTCCTACAGAGTCTTGTCCCACTCGTGGCCTAAGTCAAGAGATCCAGATTCAACTCCATCTCCTGCCTGGGCCAAGCCCTTCATTCCTGGGTCTGGTCTGAGGGTCATGCTTCCTGTTCAGGTAATGGGCTGGAACGTGGTGACAGGCAAATTATATCACCTTTCAGATGAAATCTCACCCCCCTCAACAGGGAAGTAGCTTTGCACATTATAGACCAAAGAGTCCTTCAAGGACCAGGAAAAGTGCTACTTCCCCCAGGAAGCCTGCCTGGCAGGCACACTGTCTCCTGTGTCTACTGAGAGAACAGGGATCCCTCCTCTCCTCTGCTGCTGGAGTTACTGCATAAAAAAAAAAAAAAAAAAAAAGAGAGAGAGTTGCCTGCATGTCTACACAGCTGCTAGAGCTTGGGATCACCAACAGCCAGCACTCCAGGGAGACGCAAAAGCTAGTGATGACAGTAATGATAATAACTAACATTTACTGAGACTATACAAGGTACTAGGCACTGCTCTTAGCACTTTACATGTATTTACTCATTCACCATAGCTCTTAGAGTTAGGTCTTATCATTTCACTCAGTTATAGACAAGAAAACCAAGGCACAGAGAGATTAAATTATTTGCCCCATATTACACAGCCAGTAAGTGGCAGAGCTAGGATTCAAACCCAGGCAGTCTGGCTCCATATCATTTAATTCAAACAATAACTCTGTCATGTTAGTTTTATTAAACCTGCTTTAAAGGTTGAGGAAACCGAGGCTTGAGCACTGTGAGCTAAGACCACATAGCTAAAAAGAGGCAAATCAAATATTCAACCCAAAGGTTGCAACCTTTCTCAAGCCCTTCATGGTAGGAATTGTGTTACAACCACTCCAGGCTGAATTCAGGGAGGCCAGCTGACCTCATTTGTCCTCTGGGATGAGAACCAGCAATGGACGTCCACTGCCATCAGAAAGGCTCTGCCAGCAGGTCATTTTGAATGGGTGCAGTTTCCGAAGTACTTTTTATATATGATTATGTACATAACCCATATCCCATTAGAGAGAAAGAAGGCCGAGGAGAGCCAGCCTCCTGGGACCATGGGCACACTTTTCTGTTACAGTGCATGGACACTGTGTGGTTGCAGCTTTCTGGGTGTCCTCTCAGCCCAGGTGCTGTTCTAGAAATCGTCTCATACGTGAACCCTCTTGTACCCAGGATCGAATGAGACACAGGAAGCAGTGTCTCCCAGCAGAAGGGCAAAGGCTTAGAGGGTCTCAGAGCTACCATCCCTTTCCTGTGGGGATTTAGGCAAGTTTCTTAATCTCTACGAGTTCCAATTTCCTTATCTGAAACAAAAAAGGAAACGAGAAAATTCTTCCTTTCAGGGTGGTTACAAGAAAAAAAATGAAGTATGAAATTTTATAGCAGAGAAAGAAAATATGTTTACTAAGCACCTATAATGTGCTAGGCTCTATATGTATGTATCTCATTTATATTGCATATAAATCCCATGAGAGAGGTATCTCCACTTTACAGACAAGGCAACCGGAACTCAGGGAGGTTAATGCTTGTTCAGAGCCACATTGCTAGTAAGTGGCACAGAGGAGCTGTGAACCCAGACTCCCTGGCGTGAGCTTGGAGACTTTATCGCTTCACCAAACTCCTCTCCAAAAAGGCACAACAGGCTCCCCAATTCCACCAGGTGAATTGAGCCTTTCCCTGCCAGCTTGGCCCTCTCCTGTAGAGCCAAGGCTGCACAAACCTCCCCAGACTTTGTTTCTGTGAGGTTTCCATAAAATGTATGAACGGGAATTCCATGCTTGGACTTGAGTGATCAAAGAGAAGGCAAAGAGCCCGCATCTCTTCCCTCAGGTTTCTGGTGGTATTCCTCTCTAGCTCTCGGATCTCATGGGAAGGAGGCAAGGCCATTGTGGTAAGGTTCCTGTGGATTGATTCTGGGGAGATGGA